TATAGTATTGTACCCTGCTGAGGCCCCTCCCCTCCCCAAACCCCGCCCTCCTCAGACTCCACCCCCAACATCTCCAGGTATTTCCCAACCCAGAGCTCACAACCCTATTTATTGGGTATGTTTTAATTTGTTAGCTTGGTGGCCCTTGGGAGGGCAGAAAGGAGAGCTATACATTTTGTAAAATAAAAGAATAGGTTAGGCTGAGTGCATTACGGCCCTGTAGGCTCCCAGCAACTTGTGGGGCAGGGTGGGGATTCGAATCTGGGTCTCCAAGACCTCCGTCTGACACGCCAACCATCATACCACACAGGCTCTCATGTGATACATTCATGCAGGATTGTAGTTTTGTCTGCACAATCCCCATTCCCCGGTTTAAGGATTTCACTGAATTGAACTACTGTGTGCAGTTCTGGAGGCCTCACTTCTAAAAGGAAGTGGGCAAAATCGAGAGGGTGCAGAAGAGAGTGACGAGGATGATCAGGGGTCTGGAGACTGAGCCCTACGAGGAAAGGCTGAGGGCCTTGGGAATGTTGAGTCTGGAGAAGAGGAGATTGAGGGGGGACAGGATTGCTCTCTTTAAATATTCGAAAGGCTGTCATTTGGAGGAGGGCAAGGAGCTGTTCCAGTTGGCAGCAGAGGATAGGACCCGAAGCAACGGGTTTAAATTACACGCAGAAAGGTATCGGCTGGATATTAGGAAAAACTTTTCCACAGTCAGAGTGGTTCAGAGGTGGAGTCAGCTGCCTTGGGAGGTGGTGAGCTCCCCTTCACTGACAGCTTTCAAGAAGAGGCTGGACGGATATTTGTCAGAGATGCTTTAGGCTGGTCCTGCACTGGGCAGGGGGTTGGACTAGATGGCCCGTATGGCCCCTTCCAACGCTATGATTCTATGATTCCCTTCCACATGAGCAATAACGGTCACTGTCTAGCAGAAATGGTGTTTCTGGTTTCACTGATTGTTTAGAACAAGCTGGTGTTTATGAAGAATTGCAAGGGAGGGGATTATTGGGACCCACGCAAAGAAGTGTTTCAGTGAGAATTATAAGATATGTGAACTGAATGAGAGTTCAGTGGAAGTCCGGCTGTGAACGTCTGAGGAATGGAGGGGTGGATAAACGAACAAGATATCTGTTCTAACCCCGATCTCTCACTTCAGGATACTATAAATCTTAGGGCAGGGGTCCACGGCATGTACCTGCCAACACCTTTCATGGTACCCACCACTGGCAGTGTTCCCTCTAAGCTGAGTTAGTGTGAGCTAGCTCACAGTTTTTTAGCCTTGAGCTCATAGATTTTGGTCTTAGTTCAGGAAGCATGGCTCCAGAGCAATCTAATTTATGCAGTAGCCAAATCATTCGCTCACAATTTCAATGCCAGTAGCTCACGAATTAGAATTTTTGCTCAGAAGACTCCACAGCTAAGAGGGAACATTGCCCACCAGGTATTTTTAGAAAGTAGGTGGGGCCAGATGGGGGTTCTCACCGAGCAGGGCTTCCGATTGGCCACTGGGGATCTGATAGACCATGCAGATAACAAATAATGATATTTTAGCAGCAGCTGCCAGTGCCACAGTTTGGAGTAGCGGTTAAGACTGGCGGACTCTGATCTGGAGAACTGGGTTTGATTCCCCACTCCTCTGCATGAGGCCGGCTGGGTGACCTTGGGTCAGTCACAGCTCTCTCAGAACTGTTCTCTCAAGAGCAGTTCTCTCAGAGCTCTTTCAGTCTCACCTACATCACAGGACATCTTTTGTAGGGAGAGAAAAATAAGAAGATTGTAAGCTGCTCTGAGACTCCAGGTGAAGGGCGGGGTATAAATCCAACTCTTCTCCTCCTCCTCCTCCTCCTCCTCTTTTTCAGTATTTTGTTTAAAATTACTCCCCTTGTCCCCTGTATCTGGGCTTCCTCTGTGTATGCAGAGAGCCAGTTTGCTGTAGTGGTTAAGTGCGCAGACTCTAATCTGGGAGAACCGGGTTCGATTCCCCACTCCTCCACTTGCACCTGGCTGGATGACCTCGGGCAAGCCATCGTTCTGGCACAGCGGTTCTTGAAAAAAGAGCAGTTTCTGTCAGAGCTCTCTCAGCCCCACCTACCTCACAGGGTGTCTGTTGTGGGGAGGGGAAGGGAAAGGAGTTTGTAAGCCGCTCTGAGACTCCTTTGGGTAGTGAAGGGCGGGGTATAAATCCAATCTCCTCCTCCTCCTCC